TGACGGCTTACCTCAACGTGATTGATCAAAACCTTGAACATCAGCCTTCATATTCATTTTATTCAAATAGAACTCTATCTATACTCTATTATACGTTCAATTCCAATGATGATCAACATATGCAGTTGACCAAAATAACCAACTGATTGTTAGGATTCTCAAAGGCGCGATCAATCGTAGTAAAAGAGAAATTTTTTTCACTCAAAGAAATAGGAGAAGAATAATCACTAGTTCGTCGATTTCTTTTAGTTTGCGGTGGGACGTCTGAAATCTGCACACAATTACGGCGTTCCATTCGACTTACAATTACTTGCACGCAAATATTTTCCACTTTCTCAATGTGACGTTTGACGACGTCATTAGAATTCGCGCTTTATTTGGTAACTTACATGATGTGGCTACAAAATATTACGTAAAAGCACAAACATACAAGACATTTCACCGCAAACATTGCAGAAAAACGCAAAAAAAATCATCACGTTGAAAAAAGTGTGATAGAGACTATTACGACGATGTGATCAATATATAAATGAATTTTAGCCTATTCTCTGGTAAATAACAGGGATGGAAGGAAAAAGTGAAAAACACTGACCGTAATGAAGCTTGACAATAAACGGATGAGAGATATGGGCGAGAATATTACGCTCCATCTTCGTACGTAGACGATCACGTACTTTTAATGTTGCTTTCTTCAGTACCTTAAGAGAGATTAGCTTAGTTTGGTATAGAGAATCATTAGCGAGCCGGCATAAGTAGCAGGTTTTCTGAAAAAACTAGAACATTTCACTTCATTTGCACGACACAAATATGTGGGATTTGGGAATCGGTAGCCACCAATTCATGTGTTCCCAATTTTTCTATTTTCTTTTCGAAAGGTCAATATATTATTTGAAGACCAAAAATCCAAATGATATCACCTAGCCGAACCATGAGGATTTTGCTTCGATTTCATTCTAATCTATTAAGTAACATAAAGAAAAATGCAATTTGTGATAGAAAAAATCCATTTACATAAGATCGATAATAGTAAATAATGATTATAATGATAATGTTCCAATTGGAAAAGGTGATTTTGACGAAAAGTTAGATAATGAGACTTCTGAAGAAAAGTATTTCTAGTTGTCTAACTTGAAAACTTCTGTTCTCATTTGGACACAAATGATAATATAGAACAAAAGCGACACAAAAATAGGGAAGAATGCAGTAGTCTAAGTTCAAATAAACTACATCAAGAAGGCAAAATACAATCAAAAATGAGTTTTAGGTGATTTTATGTTTTGAACCGTTCATCGGACAACATCAACACTTATTATTACCATTTTCGCTCCTATGTAACAATGACAATAACAAAGGCAATTTTTTTATCGGTATCAATTCAACTCCTCTATATACATATACATATACATATTCATTTACATATGCATACATGTGTATATACGCATATACATCTATATATGTATATATATATACATATGTATAGACTTTATTAAACATGTATATCTTTTCCTTGTTTTACGACTTCCTATATCCTGCATAGCCGATTTGCCTATATTCCGATCCTCTAATTTTTATATCGTTAGTATGCAAACAAAGAACCGTGGGTAATGATTATAAGCAATGTATGAAAAACATGGTGGCTGTTTCCGTGGTCACACTCTTTAACAAGCTTTCCTAGAGGAGGTTATGTAGATGAAAAAACACTCCCCAGATGAGTTTTCGTTCTCGTCAACAACAACAATGACGGCAGGACAAAGCTCACACAATTCGTCGTTGCTGTGCTGTAATTAGTTTGTCGTCTACAGTCTTATGAAAAATGCGATAGTTTCACCGCCGCATTACAAATTGTTGTTCAACTGACTAAGTGATAGTGATGCCAATGACAAAGACAAAAATAGGAAAAAGAAGCAAAATTCATCATAAATAATGATAATAACAGATAACAATAGAATATAATCAGTTAACAGTAATAAAGCAATCAATATCAATAATATGTATGTATATATATACATATATGTAAATATAAATATACATATATGTGTATATATATAGATGTGTACACATGCATTATATATATATATATATATATATATATATATACATTTATAGGTAGGAATACATACTACACTTCTTACAACTCATTTGTATCTGTATGTACTTCATTATTTTATATTGGATTATTCCCTTCAGCGTGCGACAACCACTATTAATATTAGAAACCGCAAGTTCGATTGATAAAACAAATGAAAAACGGAGCATATTGAAGATTGTGAGATAGAATGGATGAAACTGACTCACTTTCATAGCATAAATTTGTCCCGTATCACGGCCACGAATTTTTCGTACAAGAAAAACTTTTCCAAATGAACCTTGACCGAGCACCTACAATGATTGAATAGATTCATATGAGAAGCGAATAACAATGAACAATGAAAAAACACGAAAATGACAAAGTCGACTCATTGTGTCTTGGGAACGATTTTTCGAAGACTTAGAAAGGGATAAGGGAGGAAATAGCTAAAGTGTATAAATGAAAAAAGATTCTATTCTCTATGATGAAGCGAATCACTTACTTTTAGTAGTTCGAATTGCCTTGTGTCGGCTTTCTCGCCACATTTACGAACTTCACTAATATCGATTTCAGCCAGACTGTCTGTCTGTAACGAAAGACTCTGAGAGTTCAAAAAGCAAAGAAAAGCCAATTTCAAATCCAGTGTGTTCATATTTTCGCTGATTGCGCCATAATCCTAACAATTTCGGCATAGGTTGGTATTTTTTGCCGGAAAGCTCGCAAATATAACTGACGGAATCGTTGCACTCATGCGCCTAGGCGATTCGGTCTAGCTTTAACTTGATTATTCTCGCTAACTTTACTCAAACTTATCAAAAATCAATAACGGAGAAGAGCACAATTGTTAAGGCAGCTATGGTTGCAAAAGATTGAAACATACATTTGAAAGATTGTTATAAAGTGCAGATAAGAAAGAGAACATGATATGAACTTGATAACAGAGTATTAGTTGACCAACTCTTCAAAGAAAATTTATCTTTGAAAAGCTTTCGCCGTAGATCATATCGACTGGTTTTAGGAACTTTTATCGCTTCACTTCTTCATTTTCAAATGGAATATGTCCCAACGGATTTGAATCGATGAGAAGAAATACAAAAACCAAAGTGCGCTTTTTGAAAAGCTTAATTACCGCTCAAAACTTTAGGATTTAGTGAAAAGTCCAATAGTTTTCAAGTTTCTTCTAAAAACTACCGAACGATAAAGTTTGTTAATTTTGAAAACATTCCCATTTATTCTCACCAATGACGACACTTAGAGCTCATTCCATGTCGAAAATATGCTCATGCAATGCTCAAGCCATCGCTGACGTAAGTTAAGATACAAAAAACGGGAATAGCATCGAATGGCCGTGACGACGCGCTTCCTTCACCGCGATAGAGTTGGTGAAGAATAAGCAATGGAGAGATTTTTATATTGCTCCACTGGGGAAAAAATCGATATAGACCACATCTGAGGATAGAAATTAGACTAATCCCAGTTGAAAAGAGGTGAAAGACCGAACAAATATGACTCGACTATGGATCAACAATCAGAAAAATCATTGTCCTCTGAGCGAGGTTGAAAATTGACGATGAAAGTACGAAACGTTCAAGTCAGAGAATGTCAACTTCATTTCACAGTATGATTTACAACAAAATATCAAGAGTGAAAACACAAAAATGAAAGAAAATGAAGGCAATATTATAGAATTTAGAGACACAGTAACCAAACTTTCAAACCAGTTCGCGATTGAAGACTTCACTAAGAAGTCAGAAAAATCAAACGAATATATTAAACGCAAATACGCAAGAAATAAGTGGGAATAAAGAGCTCGCCTGAATTGATCGCGGTTCATCGTCTAACGCTCCCATCATATGGATTCGCTAGTGCAAGAAAAGACGGGAGTTTCTTGAGAGTGAAAATAGAGGAAAACGAGCTCGTTGCCCGATGACGTTTCAGTAGAGCTCGAGGAAAATCTTCATGAATAATTAGTGCATTGTAAGACAGATGATGAAGAAGAACGACGAGAGCGAAAAGCTCGTTGTTGCCGAGGAGGAGGGATCCGTACTCTCCGCCGCCGCCACTACGATTCGACGATGCTCCGCCTCCAGACACTCACTCGTGTTACCCACCCATGTTGCCCGTCATCTTTCATGCACACATCCACACCATGGTAAATGATGACGAAACGTTTAACACGAACGATTTCCGGTCCAATAAATGAATAATTTCTCTCTCATGACATATGATGAGTGTCAAGGATGTTTGGAAACTCTATGGAGGGGCATTTAGCTTCAGAAAATCTCTGAGAGATGTAAAATGAATTCAACTTCAATAGAGTCTGCCAGAATGTTTGGGGCCTTTACGAGGTTGGTACGTCAATGGCACACATAAGTTTCGGCGGTATGGCCCGCTTTATCAGAGCCACACGCTCCACATTGAACCCTGCTTTATGACATGGATGGCGAGACGTTACGGTGATAGCACATAACACCGCCGAAACATGCGTAAGCCACTGACGTTCCAATCTCGAAAAGGCTCTAAACATTCGAATTATATTAAAAGTTTACAGCGAGGTTTAAAATCAGTCAAGTGGAAGATCCAACATTGCATATGAATGGGTATGTTACTCATACAACGATTTGCCTGTACTTACCGGCCTATTAAGTCAGTGTTTTCAAAATCCCATATGATTTGTCAGTCCCAGACGGATGGAGGTAGTTATTACAGTATGTGAAATCGAAATTAACCACAGATAGCGAATTACATGGTACCTCTGTCACCCGTGCTAACTTACACTAACTGAGCCATGGAATTCTATGGACTTTAAGAGAAACTTTATTTTGATAGAATATGACTTAACTAGAATTCTTTTTGTTTAACCGCTTTTACGGTGGTACGATAGTACATATATATAAATATCCATTAATGTTGAGTGATATGTAGAACTTTCAACGTCAGGCGGGAATCGAACCCGCATCTCACCCTTGTCGGGGGTGCTTGCTAATCAACTGCACTGCTGACTTTCCTTTCTGTCATCACTCCTTCTGGACACAACTCATCAATCTTTCAACAACCAACCGTTAACGGTTTGGCCTAGCAAGCACATAACACAGCACATAAGAACATGGTTTCTGGAAGTACAGATGGCAAACATTCATGTGAAATAATTCTACAGGGAACTGAGTTTGTGTCGGAGTCCTTTATCTTCTAGAAATCAACGAAAGTATGAAGACTGAAAGTATTTTGCTGCTGATCAATTTTGATAATGAAAGCCCTTACGAAGCTCAAATATAAGTTCAACAAAGCATGTTCCTTGAGAAATTGCACGAATTATCTTGTCAAACGAAACGAAACAAAATACGACCAAAAATACTTAACGCAATACGCCGTGATCTCATAAAATGTAAGCTCCTATATCAAGGTTTTTCATTAGATTTCAAAGCAGACGTTGGAAAAAATTACGTAAACCGAAAAAAGAGATAAAGAACGTGGACGGAGATGAAAAATGACGTAGCATTAGTCGATTTGCGCTCACTGAAGCCTCTCATGAGCGTTGTCGGGAAATAAAACTCTCTTTTCAGTTGTGATTGAGTGTTTGAGAGATTTCGTCATAAGGTGTTCCACACGCAATAAAATTCACAAATAAAAATTGCTGATTGAGACAACGTTTTCGTCTACAGCTTTTCGAAGACGATTCTTAGTGTCACATTAGCAAAGGTTTACCGAGGAACATGTCGCAAAAATGTCCAAGCTGCACAGTTTGAAACAGAAGAGTTCTGCAGGCTTTTCTTGAAAGTTTTAGCGAGCCTGCTACTGGGGAAATCTGGTCGACGAATCCACCTGATACAACACAACGAAGCATTCTGATCAGTATGTATCAATACGCCCCATGCACATAGCTACCTATACAACGGTCTTCGTTCCATATCGGTTTTCACGCTTTGGAAATCACTTAAAACAAGGTAATAACCATGTTTTACCCTTCACGTTAAAATTCAGTACAGAAAACAGCATCAGAACTAAGAGCAGTCCATATCGTCTCATTCAATTAACTTCTATACCCTCGCCATCAACTTTCGGGAAATCCGCATCGAACCGCCTCCTCAAAGATTTCATCCGTTGCTCTATTATTTGGATTAACTCCTTGACAACGATGCCGAGGTCTTGCGCGGCACACGACGCGGTCGCGCGGCGAGTTACTTGGCGATGTGGTAGTTTTCTGATGAAAACTTGATTTTTATCGTCACTACAGAGGATTTTATCGCCAGTAAATTGTCAAATATGATAGAAAAGATTTTGATAAAACTAACTGTAGCAGGACAATAGCGTTGCTTCCTCTCAAAACCCCGAATTTCAAGGGAAAAGCCATATACCAAAAGGGTGATAATTTAAACTGCTACTGAACATTTTTCTATTATATAACCCATATTTACTGATATTCAAATCACATTTATCCTTCATTTATTACATCAACAACAAGTCATTTCCAAATACTATAGCAGATAAAACGAATAATTAGATAATTGTTCTTCTGATCAAAAGAGTACGAATAAAAAACCGATCTCATTTACTGAAAAGAAACTTTTCACAGCAGTGTTAGTAACCATTCGAAAGCTAAGATTTGAGGCTACAACCCCACGTTGCCGATTTTTCAAAATACCAATGTATAACGCTGTAACATTCAAAATAAAATACTATTACATAAAATCACGTATTTTTTTCTCTTATCTCGCCTATATTTCTTTGGACAAAACTCCTTCCTTAGGGTGCTAGTACTCAGACTATAGCACAAGATTCGAAAAACTCAAAAGTGTTTGTTTTCAAAAAGCTTTTTTGATCATTTGACCTCCTCTGGTCTTTTTTGTGGTTCAAACCTCGCCGGACAGAGCTCTTTCTTTAGACCATCAATACTCATCTGATAGCGTAATGTTTTCTGATTCCAGTGATCTGCCAATTTTCTGGAAATATGGCTTAGTAGAATAGGCTTTACATTTTTGGTAACGTTGCTCACAGGTTATTCGACACGACGAAAGCCGTGTCAGGGGCAGTATGAGGCGGAATACTTGAGATAAAACGATTGACCAAGATACTACGGAAATTGCTCTGCAAACTGAGATGCTTTTCGGCTTCCAGCAAATTATAGCGTGATAAAAATGAAGGCGAAAGGCGAGTGTGAAAAACAATTTTTGATCTGGATGCTACAGCGTTATGAGAGGGTGTTTTGAAAAATGGCGATGTGGAGCTGTAGCCTCAGGTCTCAGCTTCTGAAAGATAACTAACACTTCTATAAAAAATTCCTCTCTAGCGAATGAGATCGGTTTTTTATTTCTTCCTTCCTAATCAGAAAGAACTGGATAATCGATAATATCATCAGTTTGTGCTTTTGATAATCAAATATCACGACGAAAATCTTTCAGTTTTTGTATACGCTCATTCAACAAACCACATAAAAATCATCATAGAGATTGAAATTTGTAAGACAAGGATTAGTTTGGCAAAAATGATGCTGCTCAGTGCATGCGGTGCCACCCCCTCGAAAACTTTCAATGATTTCTCGATTCTCTGTCTATGACGAAGAATGGCACGTCCTTAGAATTTTAGAGGAGACTTTGTTCTATCGATATGTGGGCACAACTTTTTATCATCTGCCTATACTCAACTATGGAGATTAAACATCGTTGTATCATGGTCACTGATTATTATGGGCACCCCATAATTTTTTTCTCCAATCGAATACCTACGGTTGATATCCTACACCTCTTCCACTTCTTCTCTCCTATTCAAATAACTTCAATGTGACCGCGTGCAGGTGACTTTTAAGTATTAAAAGTGCACCAGAGACCTCCTAATCCGCTCAACTGCTTCCAACGGGTACCCTTCTTCACTTACTCCAAGAAATTATACGTGAAAACGGTCCAATCTCTGCAGATTTTTGTAGAGCTGCTAATAGTAGAATTGTGAGAAAGAGTGCGCCCATATATATATCATATATATATATATATATATATATATTATATATATATATATATTTCAAGAAAGAGTTTTTCTCATGCCTGCAGATAAAAACTAGAATATCCTGCTCGGTCGCTTGTTAGCACAGTGATCATTAGGACATCGATGACAAAGCCGATAATCCACAAAAAACAATGCATTCATCTAAGATACTGGCCCTTGGGTAGCGACTCGAGCGACGATGGGCAACATACTTTGGAAGATGAGTGAAAATCCACGAGTGCTCAAGAAAAATCCTGTTCCTGAGAACCCATCCTTTTATGAGCCGCGGGCAGGTGTTCAAGGTGAGGTAATGTTCACGTGCAAAGAGCTAGTAGACTTCCGCGAAGTATTCACGAGGTACATCTTTGTACTCTGATACATTGGTGTATGCAGGGCAGTCACAGCTCTAAGACCAACTTCGTGCACACGCTTGTAAAGCTGCTAGTTGCACAAATTGTGGTCAAAAGGATGCCTAATTGTTTTGAGCACGTATATCCAATGGATACGCGCGGAAAGGGTTCAATAGCTTTTGAATTGATACGCTGCTTCAACCCACTAACTCCTATGACGAATCAAAGCAAGGAGTTATCGTGATTTGGAAAACGTTGTTTCTAACTTTAAATCAAATATAGTACGCCTAACTATTTGACCCCTGAATGGAGGGAATGTAGTCCTAGTTTTTCAAATAATCGACAACAGTCTGATCTAAGTTAGGGCTCATACTAGAAAAAAGACTGTAGAGGTCTATATTAGATAAATGGGAGAAGACGATGAAGCCAGCTGTGATGAAACATCATCATCCAAACCCTGTACTATCGAAACGACAGACACTCACGTATTTGATGTTGTCGACCGTCACTGGACTGATGACGTCCCTACAGAATGATATCAGCGAAGGCGAGTGAACGACAATGATTAAATAAGTAAAAACTACCGCAACAATGCAGTATTTCGTTTTTTTTTTTGGTATAGAAATAGAAAAATAATAATAAAGAAGAGCAAGTGAATGTATAATGAGTATAAATGAACATAAATAAGTTGAAAAAGTGACATTACCGCGGTAAGAAACGATGACATCATGGTGCGAAAGTTATCAAGAATTTATGCTTTTTTTCTCTTGCCATCCTCTTGCAAATAAAATCAAATTAGAAATATAATGAATCATATCGACTGTCGCTCTGCGAAAATCCTCATTATCTCTGCTTATCTCATTCGATATTGTGCTCAATCAGAATACACCTGGTTTTCATCCATGTTCCTGCGTTTATTTGATGTTTAACCACTAATTCTTGGCATAGGCGAATGAATGCACTTCCATACGGTGTTCTGCTAGTGTAAAGTACGAACAAACATCCTTTTTTCTTCGTTTCTATATTAAAAGAAAATTAAGACCCAATTTTAATATGTAGAAAGATAGTACGATAGTATTAGAACAAAGAAACGATAGAAAACTGAATAGTTGAGTGGTTCCGACGTAAACTGCGAAAAAAGTCTCAGATTTCTTCCACGTCATCATGGAATCAGCAGTCATTTTGTAAGAAAACATTAAAAAAAAACAGGATAGGATTCAAACCCATTGACAAATGGAGAATAAAAATAGAGGATTTATGAAGCAGACACTTTGAAGGAATTGTGTACTCTACTTATGGTTTTATGATAGAAAGTTAGCATTTTCGAAAGTCACCTATCTTTAGACATACGAATGTTCCTGAGTTGACCTCACTACCGTTTAGTGATGGAATGAATTTCCTGTCAACACTGGAAATTTTGTAGTTCTTACTCCATATCGCAACTTTTGTTGGATAGAGTCGGATGTTTATTAACGCATTAGCGACAATTCCTTAATTGAAATATTACTTTGTGTGAAATTACTTAAAATATTAATTAGTGATATTAGCAATGGATAAAATATAAGGGAAGTTTTATAGAGAGGACTCGTGTGCAGAGCAGTCATCATTATCAAAACGCAAGGAGTCGTTGGTTTGATCCTTTGCCATGCGTTCGATAAACCTTTGCTGTCTTTGGGTCG